TTGCGCCTGTTTGCCGCTCTGCGGGGCCGTGGCCCGAGCCTCCCGGCCATGGTGAGTGTCGAGGGAGTCGGGCTGCAGCACGCGAGGCCGGGCGGCGCCGGCGGAGGTGTGGGGAGCGCCCGGGCAGCCTCTCAGGTGGGCCCGGCCTTCGCCTCGGACTCGGCGTGGCCGCGAGGGCGCCCGCACCTGCCCGTCGCGCGGGAGGGAGCCGAGGGTGTGTGACCGCGGCGTCTCCCTGTGTCTCCTTGGCTAAACCCCGCCGTAGTCCACGGAATTGCCAACTTGTGAACAAACGAGTTCGAATTTCGTTTTTTAAAAAGCAGTGACAAAAATATGTCAAGTTTAGGGTCACTTGGTGTGACTGAAGCTCCTGGAGATTGTAGCTCCATGAGAGCAGACGGGGACCTTCTCTGTCAGGCGCGTGCGGCCAACGTGGTGCCTAATGCTGAGGTAACGCATATTTTGGCGTTCGTCATCTGGAGGAATTATTGATAAATTGCCGTAATTTTTTAAAAATTTTGTTTTATTTATTTATTTTAGCGACTCATCGATTTTTGACACTTCAGGGCGTTCCTTCAGTTTTTCCTTTTACAAACGGGGGTAAATTAACCCAAGGAAAGTTTTAACGCGCAGCACCACCTAGTGGGGAAATGTTGCATTGAACTCAGTATTTCGATTTAAGTTTCTTGTTAAAAGTCCACTTGGGTGCTTGAAAGTCTTTAATAGAAGAAATTTAAAATAGCGCGGTCATGGAGAAAGATAAACTCCCTCCTTCGTGGCCTTTAAGATGAAAACTCAGGTTCACCGCCTACTGCCTCCTAAGCATGACTGAAGTTATGCATCTAACCAAAGTGCTGGTGACCAGGTAAAGTCGTGGTGTTCAAGATAAATGAATAAGCTAATATCATCTGAGGGGCTGCCACGTCCAGGACTCTATGCGTTTACAGTGAAGACCTCTTGAAAAAAAAAAAAACCTCGACAGGTAGATACTGTTGAGATATCCCCACTATAAGCATAGGGGTACTAGTTCTCTGAGATGCTACGTGATTAGTTCTGTGTCCCACGGTTGAAATCAACACATAGCTAGGTCTTGAGTCCAGTTTACTCCCTCTGAGTCCTGTGCTTCCCCCGTCCCTCCCCTCCTCTCCCACAGGGAAAAAAAAAAATGAAGCCACTGCAAAGGGCTTTGCAGAGGAGTGTCCCCCGTGCAGAGGGGTGCCTTTCCTGTTAAATAGCTCAAGAGGCTCCTTTCACTGTTCCAGACACTTCCCTAGTTCTGGTCAGACATCTGGGGTGAGCAGAGTGCATACCACTGACCTCAATGAAGATGCAGGGTGATGGAGAACAGAGCAAGCAGTTCAGCGAGCATTCCAGAGGCCTGTGGTATTACCCACATTATCCACGGGTGTGATTAATAGTTTTCAGCTCCTGAATGTGGACACCGATATTTCCTTTTCTTTTCTGAAATACTGTGTGTTGACATAAAATACCTAAAAGTATAACAAGAATTTTAGATTATTTACTACAGTGACTCTTGATAGGAAGTCTTCAGATTCATTGTAAAATTAATCAATAGATATGTTGGTATTTAATAGTAAGTGGTTTCTGATAATAGGCCTTGAGATGATTTTATGTCAGGTATTTTCATTTTTCTCTTTTGTTAGTTGTGGGGGGAGGGCAACTCATCTGGTTCATTATCATTTTTTCCCTCTTTTTAAAAAAGATTTATTCATTCACTCATTCATTCATTCATTCATACAGAACTGGGGTGCAGGCTAGAGGTGCAGGGCCAGTGAGAGGATTCACCAGAGACAGAGTAGAGAGCAGAACTAGTAGATTGACCAAGTACACTGCTGAGGGGAGCAGTTGGCAGGTCAGGAGAGGTCTGCCATACCATGTGGGTCACTTCTGGGCCCTGGAGCGAACTTGCACTGAAGCAGCTGCTGCCCACTTTACAGTGCTGTGCTTTAACCCACTGCACCACCAGGGAGGGCCTTTTCCCTCTTTCTTAGAGCAAGTTGCCTTAAAGTAAGCTTACTTACTTTGTCCTCTTAATTACATTAATTTTAGTGAAAAGGGGCCCTGGGATTTCTGAAGTGGGAATGGGATGCAGTTTCATGGTGGGTTCCAGCTCAGCCCCTAGTTGCCCTTTTATGAGCGATCTCTCACAGTTGGGTCTGAGGGACAGTTCCTCTTTCTAGCCAAGTGCCTGCAAATGGGCAAGGCAGAGGTTACTGGGTGGCACTTGTGCTGTATGAAAACTAAGCTCTGAGCTCTGCTTGAGTGTCCTGCTCTTCTCTCTGGCCATGATGTTTTAGAGTTCTTTTAGTTAAAAACAAATAGCATGGGGTGTGCAGGCCTGTTAACCAGCAGCACCCTGGATTTGTGAAGTCATCAGCAGGGCGACTAGGAACAAGGTGGACGGAGTGCTCTTTGAACTGGGCAGTGCTTGGACCAGAGTGTGGACAGAGTTTGTCTTACTGGTACTCAGAAAACCCACTCTGCTAAGAAAAAGGCTTTCCCCCTGTAGTTCAGAGTTTGGATTCCCAGAAGTTATTATGCAAAATCTTATGTCAATGTGCAGTTGACTTTTTTCCTTTTGGGGACTGGTTTTCATCACATCTGAAAGGGAATTGTGAGCCCAGATAATTAAGATCCTTGTGAATAAGCAGTGAAGACTGTTAAGGTAGTGGTGTACCCAAGGAGTAATAGGTCAGGAATTTGTGCCCCAATTTCTTTTTTGTTTTTTAAGATGTATTCATACAGGAATTGGGGCACAGGCCAGAGTTGCAGGGCTGAGAGGATTTGCCAGAGACAGAGCAGGAAACAAACCAGGCAGATCCGCTGAAATCCACTGCTGATGGGAGCAGCGGGTGAGACAGGAGGGGTCTGCCACGCCATGTGGGTCAGCTCCCTGCAGATTGAACTGGCGTCGCAGTAGCTATGGATAGCTTCTCAGTGCTGCACTTTAACCCACTGCACCACCAAAGAGGGCCCTTAACCCCAAATTCTAATTGTAATTCTGCCAGGGTTTCCCTGGGTGCACGTGCTTACTTTAGTTACTTTAGTTCCCTACGTCCTGTAAAGCTGACGTCACTGAAGGCCATTTCTAAAATGGCCAGTAATATCCAATAAACCTGAGGAAGGTTTATTTACATTAACATGTAAATTCTAAGGCATCAGTTCCAAGGTATGAGGCAACATACCGTGGAGGCAACTTATTTTTTACAGAGCTAGCTTTCTGTCTGCCCTGTGAGAAATTTATATTTTGAGAATAATGAAAGCAAAGAGTTTGAGAAAATTTGTTGTCTTTGAGACTTTTCTATATATAGAAAGAACTAAGTATAACTAAATCTCTACATTTTGGATATTTAGTGTGTTCTTTTCATAGTCAGCAGATGCTCACTCATTGACAGCAGAGGAGAGGAACCAAGTTATACTTGACCTTAAAGCAGCAGGATGGTCGGAATTAAGTGAGAGAGATGCTATCTACAAAGAGTTCATCTTCAAAAATTTTAATCAGGTAATTATCCCATGTTCTTGTTAATGCCATGATTTATTTTCGTCCCTTTAGACAGTATTGCTGCTTGTCTCATCTGTTTTGGCTCCAGGATCCAAATCCTTTTTTATTGTTTTCTTTTTTTAAAGATTTATTTTATTTATTTATGCATACAAGATCTGGGTTCTAGGCTAGGGGTGTGGGCATGAGAGGATTCACCAGTGACAGAGTGGGGAGCAGAACAGGTAGATCCACTAAAATACACTGCTGAGGGGAGCAGCAAGTGAGACAGGAGAGGTCTGCCGTGCCATGTGGGTCACCTCACTGGCAGGGGATCAAACACATGCTGCCCACAGCTTGATTGTCCTGAGACTAACCTCTGCACCACCAGGAGAGCCCACATCCTCTCTCTCTTGAGAATTGGATAGTTCCTTTATCCTTCTCCTCTTGTTATTCCCATCCAAACGGGTGACTCTCAGCTCTAGGGAAAGGGGATGGCATATGTCATTTGGAAAATTACATTCTGCAAGTATTACTGCTTTCATTTGGCAGTAGTTAAGATATTTCATTGAACATTAAAAAAAGAAGTGTAAAAAAGAAATGTGTATCAGGAGAGAAATGAGTAAAAGTTGTCCAGAAACATAGCCCTACTGATGAATTTCCCCTCCCTTTTCTGGACAGCTGTCAATTGTTCTTTCTTCCTTTAGTTGTATTTCTGTTTCTAAATCATCTCCCAAGCTGCACCTCTTCCTCTGACTTGCCCATTTTCCCCAAACATAGTAACCAGCTCTTGAAGCTTTGCTTAAAAGCCAACCTTCCTTAACAAGGTAACTGTTCCATTAGGACCCCACCCTGTTTAGAGAGTCATCTCCCATGACCTACCTTTCACTTCTTACTCCGTTCCATTTATGCAAGGTCAATGCTTTTGTATATTTCTTGTTTGTTCAGTTAGTTTGGTAATCCTCTGGGCAGATTTGTTGTTTTTATTTATTTAGGTGTCAACATCCAGATGGCAGAGACCATACATGCTTAAATAACTCTATTGTACCTAACGTGTGGATACAAACAGGCACTTGATAAATGCAGACATTGATTACAGTATATATAAGTTTCTGTAAGGGTTTTTGAAGGTCAGAGTTCTGCCGGAGACACTCTATACACGTTTCTTTAGTAAGTGCTGTTGGCTTCACTGAACTGTAGTGCTCTATTTTGTTCCTCTGGCTGCCAGTCTTCTTCTGTGTCTCCAACTCCTAAAGGAACCCACATCAAGCTGACTCCTGGCCCTATTGCCCCACATGCGGGACAGCTCTTGTCAGGGGCTTAGCACTCTGTGGCTGGTGGCAAGGAATCCCATTGGTACAGTAAGCTTGTGCATAAGCTCTAGGTAGCATTTTCCAAGCTTATTAAAATTCTTACATGTGTACAGCCTGACTTCTTTAAGCCTGGGCTAATTTATTGGACTTGAACATGTGGCTTAAAGTACTTGAGTCGTGTTGCCTCAGGCTCTGAATCAGTCCTTCAGCCCCTTGCTGACCTGTGCTCCAGGTGACTTTGGAAATGGGAGGGGAGGGAAGCTGTGCAGCATATCCATGATTAATCATAACATTATTCACTGGCATTCACTAAACCCCTCCACTCCCAACTTTTAGGAGAAAAAAGCAGATGACAAGAAAAACTGCTGGCATCAGGAAACGTTTTCACAGGCCCAACACTGAGGTATCCTGGAGTCAGGTTCTAGCCAGGCTGCTATGACTTCTGCCTGCACAATGGCTGTAGTGGGAGGTAATGTCATGGCCGCTGTCATTGCTCACCAACCTGAGACCCCAGCATCATACCACTGCTTGAACAAGTTGGGCTTGTTGTCTGTTGTGAACTCTGGGAACTGTTTCAGAAGTCAGTGTTTGAAAAAACAGTAGATACATACACTGTGGGTTTGTGCTAATGCTTTAGAGAATTTTGAAGGAATGAGGACTTTGCTCAGACCTGCTGGCTATCAGAATATGTATAATTCTGTGATTCTTTTTTTTTTAAAGATTTATTTATTTATTCGTACAGAACTGGGGTACAGGCCAGAGATGCGGAGGGTGAGAGGATTCACCAGAGACAGAGCGGGAAGCAGAACAGGCAGATCGACGAAGTACACTGCTGAGGGGAGCAGTGGGTGGGTCAGGAGAGGTCTCCTGCGCCATGTGGTCTCCTCCAGGGCAGGCGGGGATTGAACTCATGCGGAAGTGGCTCAAGCTTCTTTGTGCTGTGCTTTAACCTGCTGCGCCACCAGGGAGGGCCTCTTTTTTTTTTTTTTTTTTAAAAACACATCTTACTTGTTGGATAATAGGCTAAAATGTACCAAAGCTAGAACTGATAAACAGTAGTCACTCACGTGGGTGAGGGATATGTTTGGCATTTTGTGGCTTAGACTATGTTTGTATTTTGTCTGTGTTCATATATCACTACTAAGTTGCTGCGCCAGCACGACAGCAGAGATGGTCTGAGCGAAGGACGTCAGGATTAAAGCACACACTTCTTGGTCAGCAAGCAAAGGCACACACTTTATTTTTCTCTCCTTCCCTATTTATACCCTTCAGCATGGAGCCTGGGGCTGGGGATAGGCAGAAGCTCTCAGCAAGTGCATCAAGAACATGCGACAATAACATGGGGGTCAAAGAACACAAGGTAGCAAACACAAGACAGGAACACTTCCTGCCTCCTGTTTTTCTGTTCCAGCACCCATGGCTCATTCTTTGTTTCCACACAACAGTGTGCATATGATTCTGTGGGGGAAGTGGGGAGGTCTGTTCAGGCAAAGGACCCAAAACTAAGTGGTCCTGTTTTTTTGTTTTAATCCATCATGGTCACAGAGTGACCTTGTCTGATATTGTCATTTCTGGTGAATGCCAAGATGGTCCCAGGCCCGGCCCAAGCATCAGGGGCTGTTTTCTCTTTCCCACAATCGATGTTTAGAATGTTGACTCTCTGACATTAATAGAGCCCATTTCTCTTTCATTTAGGGTAGGAAAAGTATTGTTTGTTGATTATAAAACATTAATTTTAAACATTGAAGTAGGATGGCATGAGAAATTTTCTCATATTTGGTTGTAGACTTTTTTCCATAGAGTTATAGCTTCATAGATATGTTTATTCAATGTGATGATTGTACGTGTGGGTTTTTGCTTTTTTTTTAAATCAGTTTAACTTTTTTTTTGTAAAAGCTAAACAGATACTTAATAAGGCATCGACCTATGCTAAGCACTGTTCTAGGCTCATAGAGCTTCTATCTTAGTGGGGAAGATAGGCGATAATCGAATGAATACATAATATATGTGTTGCTAAATGAATAGATAACAGTCTTTCAGGTACTAATAGGTGCCCTGAAGAAGAAAAGAGTAGGTTACCAGAACACAGAATGGTGGAGGAATCAGGTACTCCGTAGGTGAAGTGAAATGAAAAGGCTTCTCTGGGCGTGGACACCTGCAGCCTGCACATTGTAAAAGACCTCAGCAGGTAGACACGCAAAGGACAGCATGTCAGGTGGAGAGGATGGCAGGTACAAGATTCCTGAGGTGGCAGTGATCTTGGCATGATGGAGGAAGAGCCAGAAGGCCAGAGTTCTACAGTGGACAGAGAAAGGAGAGACTGGTGAAGATGAGGCTTAAGAAAGAGACCAGAGCCCTGTAACCTTGTGGAGTTTCGATTTTATTCTGTTGGAGGGTTTCAGTCAAGAATTGCCATGACTTGCTTGATGTTCTCAAGCAATTACCCTGACTATTCCCTGGGGAGTGGATGGTAGGCGCGTAGGTGTGGAAGCAGGCTGATGCATAGGATGCCGCTGCAATAGGCTGAGCGAGAGGTGTCGAGACTTTGCAGGTGGCAATGGGGTGGAGAGAAATGGTGACTTCCTCCTTCTGTCTTCAAGACTAACCAGTCAGGGCTTGCTGGCAGGCTGGGTGCGGTGGGGGGGGGGGGGGGGGGGTCAAGGATGATGCCAAGGTTTTGGTTCTAGCTGTAGGGTGAAGGGTGGTACCATTGGTATCATCTACTGAACCAGGGAAGAAGTGGGAAACTGGGTAGGGAATTAAGAGTCCTGCTTTGGCCTTGTCAGATTTGAGATATGTATTAGTTACCCATGTGGTGATATCAGGTAGACACAAAATTGGATACTAAAGGTCAGAGCTCACGCTGGGGGTAAGAGTTGAAGAGTTATCACGGGGTAATGGTGAGTGTAGTTCCGATTGGCAAGAGAGCCCGGGGTGGAACAGGCAGGCGGAGGTGCAAGCATGGTGTGTTCATCATGGACAGGAGCGAAGGCAGAGTATGTTGGTATAGATGTAGGTAGGTTGCTCCACTTGTCCTGGGAAGAAGTGATTGTTTCTGTATTTTTAGTTTGGTCATCAATTACAATGAGCTGGGATGGGAGGGAGGATCCCTGGAGAGCTGGGGTGACAGGAAGAGGAGTGGAAGAGTCATCTTGGAACTAACTGGAGAACGGTGAGTTGCTCGGCAGTTCGCAGTGTCACTGGAGATTTATGGTTATATATTTAAAGCAAAGAATTTGTGGTTTGTCCAGCTGTGTTCAGCTGCTTGGGCACATGCTAAGACTACATACAGAGTTGGGCTTCACAAGGGTTGAACTTTTGCCAAATGAGGGCGACAGAAAGGTGAGGAAAATAGAGGTGTATGCAAGGGTGAGTTTACAACATGGTGAGGAGGGAAGTACCCAGGAACAGTGGCTACCAAGTTTCTAAAAGCATGTACCTACTGTCCCCATCTAGATACTTGTCTTCTGGATAGAATCCCATGTGTATGAAAAGTGAATCTGAGGGTGGCCATTATGGCCTTTTGGGACTGTGACGTAGAGTGTGCGGCTCTTCACACACAAACATATCTTCCTCTCCCAGCTCTGCCCCAGGGGAGGCCAGCGTGCCGGTGACCTGCACAGGCAGCACCTCACCTGCCTCCATCCATAAGCAAAGGGCGCTGTGCCAGAACAGATGACCCGTGATAACATATAGGGTATTTCAATGTCTGCTGAACATAGAGGTGAAAAGAATGTTCTCTTTCATTTGCTCAGTAGGGTAGGGACAATTTTCAGCTCACTTTTGATGTTACTTAGAAATCTTCAGGAGTAAGGTTAGCTGGGTTAGGTGTTGCATTTTACATAGCTTGCTTATACGGTGTCTGTAAGGTGGTGTCCCAGGTTTGCTGTAGAACTCACATTTCTTTCATGAAGAAAACGAACCATACATTTTACAGACATTTTCAGGGAACCTGGATGAAAATGCTATTTTTCAACATGTTGAGTTGTTCTGGGTTTTCCTGTAATAAGAAATAACTAGCAAATTACATTTGACCTTTTTTTTCTAAGTGATTTTATTTCAAGATGTAGTTCCAAATAGCCTGTAGCCTTTATTTGATAGGTCAGGTGAGTACAAATATAAATTGGAGATTATAAATAGGAAATTCCCAAGGGTTTCTAGTGGTGCAGACAGACGAGGTGGCCTTAGATCTCCGCCGTCGTTGTTGCCGACCAGCTCTCCTGGTGGTGCTGCCCCTATGGCTGGGCGTCAGTGACGGTGACCCGTGGTGAGCACTGGGCGAGGTGGTGCCAGGACTGTTGGCAGGAAGTTTCTGTGCTTGGAAAGCTCGGACTCAGGTGGAGTTGGCATTTGTAGAGGACCGTGCACATACCGTATAGCAAGCTATTTAAAACATGTAACACCTAATCCACTGTAATCTTGAAGATTTTTGCTTTTTTTCCTGTTCACATAGACATAGAGGGAGAGGTCTCTAAGTGACATAGTAACTTACTTTAGATGTTTGGCAACTGCAGGGTGCCCACATTGGAAGAACAAAATGCCAGCGTGTGTCCTATAGAGTTACATTTTGCTTTGCATTATTGTGTATGGGGACAAGCAGGGAAGCTTAATGAAACCAGAGGAAAGTTTAAGCATGAGCAGGAGAAGCAGAAAGTGAAGCTTTGCAGCCCAAGAAACAGCTACTCTGGATGCCGGCAGGGGGAGCCCTCTATGGCAGGAGCCTAGGCAGCAGCCCCCCAGGACCCCCGGGCTGTCCTCATTCTCTCACTTCCGGTACTGGGGTGACCCTTTCCAGCATGGAAGCGAGCGTGGTACTAGAAGTAGGGAAGCAGTGGTGGTGGAACAGCTCACATCGGTTTGGTAACTTTTGGGTGATGAAGAGTTGAAGAATTCAGGGTAAAGGATGTGATGAGTTTCCAATCACGGTGAAGAGCCTGTGTCGCCTTTAGACACAGAGGAAAGGGGCTGAGCTTTGTGAGGAATTGCTGCGAGTCCCGTGTCCCCGGAAGGGCGCCTGTGTTGTGTGTGTTTTCGTAGGTGGGCCTGCCTGGCAGGGTGTTCCGTTTTGTTAGCTTGACCCTATAACATGGCACTTCCCATGGCTCGGCCTAGTAACTTGTCAGAGGGTAGTATCTCTTGCAGTGCAGGGTCTGAGGTTTATTTGTTCAACATCTTGTTCATCACATTCTGTTGCTGTCACTGCTGACATTAAAGCGCTTCTGGAGCGGGAGTGGGAGGCGCGCTGGGATGGCCTCAGCGGCGGAGGTGGTGTGCTGTACAGCTCACAGCGGTAGCACCACATGTGAGTTTGGGGTTTATAAAATGTTGCTCTTCCGGTGCCCTGGAGCTCCTGCTACAGAGCATTCGAAAGTTATTGTTGCTGACTTACTTTATAAAAATGTTTTATTGAGGAATTTGATAATAGGCTTATGGTTAATGTTTTGAAACACTCAGTGAAGTCAAGTTTCATGATACAGAAGACAGACGGCTGTTAATGAGAATCTTAGCAGTTCCTTGCAAGGCATGGGGAGAGGTCTCAACAGCTCCTAGGGACAGATTAGCTTGGGTTTCATTGGTCATCGGTTATGTGCCAGAACTTGATCCACATCCGAGTTAGCAGCCAGTAACACGGGAAACTGAAGGTCCCATCTGAGCACCCTTAAAGGTGGACACTCACTGCCTGTTGAGAACGAGGACGGTGTCTCCGAGGTTTAGGCGTCACTGAGATCAGATGGTGTCACTTTGCTTTTAAAGTGTGGGCTACCATCTGTGTGCCTGGAGGCCCAGAGAAAATGTGTACGCAGTGCGAGCGCCCGTCGTCGTTGCAAGGGAGGGTGGAGATCGCACACTGACCTGTCACAAACCCTGCCTAGAACGTGAGAAGCTCATGAAAATAGCTGGGTGCTGTGTCCGCGTTGGTGTTCTCTGGAGTTGTTCCTGGAGAAGCCAGGCACCCTGGGGGACCACGCTGGTGTTCCGAGGCTGGGGCAGCTGGAGCCCGAACCGTCGTCACCCTTTGGACTCTCGCTTCTGCTGTTTCCGTCACCCAGTAGGGTCAGGCCTGATGTGGATTTGTAAAAACAGGCGCGTGAGATAGACGAGGGGAAATGTAAAGCAGGTGTTAACCATGCAGATAGGACACCGTGCCCCAGTGTGAAAGTGCTGTGCTCATTACTTCTCCTTTAATAAAAACGGGCTTTTAGCAGCATCATTTTTCCGTAGTCATATAGTAAATCTCCTGTTTACAGAATTTAGCCTAAGCATTTTGTTCAAGTCAAACAGCCAAGAAATATAATTTCCTCAAGCCTTTGTCTTGCCCTTTTACAGATGGCATAAAATCAGGTGTGTAAAAAATAAAAAGCCGTTTGGGCTGACGTGAAAGGTATTTCAGATTTATGCTTTGCAGATGATATTTGTATGATTAATGCATTCATTGCTTTTTTATTGCTTTTCACAGATAATGTACATGATGGAAAATGTTGTGGGTTTAAATCTTTGCCAGGTTTAGACTGTGAATATCAACAGATGTTATCATATAAGTACTATAATTATTACAAAATAAAAAATTTGTCATGAAATCCATTGACATAAATTTCATTTATGTAAATTGCTTTCATTAGTATAAAACCTTAGCGTAGCTGTTAGGGTTTGTGAAGCACTTTAGATGAGATTAACTTGGTATAATGTGGTCACAAATGGGTTGCTTTAAATTTAACTGACAAGAAAATAACACTCAAAAGTTAGGAAATTACTAAGGCATTTGCGTTCAGCCTGCGTTGCTGGTACTGCTTAAATGGGGGGAATGTGAATTAACAACAATGGACTGCTAGCTCAGTAATTACAGAAAACAGTTTAAAGGAGACTTAAAGAATAACTTAAAAGAGTTTGGTCTTGCTCTTTTTTGTTCTGTTTCTGTTTTCCTTTGGTATGCCAGCCCAGTGTTTCAGTACCGCCATTATCAATAGTGCTCAGGTTTACACAGCAAGTTAGTCAGTAGAGTTGCTGTGCGTTAGGGCCGGGCCATGCAAGCTTACGTTCAACTGTTTCAAGATACGGGAGTTGGGTGCCTGAGCTCACCCTCCTTCCTTAGCAGCTAGTACAAGCTAGTACAACGCTGCCCTCAGGAGGGATTTACCATCAGGTGTGCCTGGCAGGTATCTTCTTCCCTGGTGAGTGCTCTATGCTTGACTTTTTTCTGTGTCCTTTGAACAGAACAAAGCAGTGATTCAGCTCCTTGGTTTTGTCTAGCACATCGCCCTTTGACCTGGATATTCTAACCAACACACTGAATTTTGTACAGCACGGAACTAGACTGTTGCTTGTGGGCACAGCAGGTCATGTCAGAGGAGGTGCCAGACTCACACTCTGGTTTCTCCAGCACTGTTTTAAGATCTTACTGTGTGTAGGGTGAAGGAAGACGGCTCAGGCTTTTGCACCGTTGGCCTCAGTGATGATTACCTGTGGCCTCGAATGCAGCAGTTGCTTGGGAGTGTGGGTTTGGGGTGCGCATGCCTGATGGAGGACTCCTGGAGTGTGGCGTGAACATGCGGAAGTGGGCATGGCTGAGCCTGGAAGTGGAGCATATGAGGACAGGTCACAGCGGACGGGCTGCAGCAGAGGACTGTGAGGTAAAGTGCAATGGAGAGAGGAAGAGACTACGAGAGAACAGAAGCACCAGGGTGAGCCCAGAGAGAGTGAAGATACGCTGGGGGTGAAGGTGGGGGCTGGGAGATCAGCCAGTCTCCTGGCCTCCCAGGCCCCCTGCCTGCCCCGCAGGAGGCCTCACTACTAAATGCTGCAGAAAGACATTAGAAGTCTGAAAAAGCCACTGAGGGCTCCAGGACTTCCCTTTACCTGTCTGTCTGGATTGACAGAAAACCTGTTCTGTGCCTTCCTGACGACCACACTGAGATTCGAAAGGTGTTTCTATTTCTGTTTTCCAGGAGATACTTTCCAGTGTCTACCTACCTATTGGATCACTTTTCTGCTTACGAGGGTTTGACTGTACTTTCCTGAGAAAGAGACTACTCACCGGCTAAAGCAAACAAAGCTGTTCTTGTTTAGGAGTAACCCAGGTATCAGTGTTGAGCAATCAGAGGTCATTTAATTGTTTCATTAAAATCAGGCTTATCAAAACAGTAAATGTGGCTAATGAGTATGTTTGCTCTCTTGCTGTTAGCCAGCAGGGTGGCCTTCTATCCTGTCATTCATCAAGCTGAGTTCATGCCCTGTCCTGGTCCTACAGCCCTGGCCGGGGAAATGTACTAGGCGCTTGGAGCAAACCCAGGTGTTCTCCCCACTGGGAGCTCGCTCTCCAACCTCGCTCTTCTGGGGTCAGCGAGCCTTGGGAGGTGCTTGAGTGGGCATCCCTGAGGGCTAGCATTGCTCAGTGGCCAAGGTGTGCAAGGAGAAAGCTGCAGAAGCGCATGATTCTGTTTCTGCCCATAACTCCTAGTTTTGTTGTGGAGGTTGCACATCTTACCTGTACAAGAGTTGGCTTTTTAAACTCCACTTTAATTAGACACTAAAATGTGAGTACTAAGCTGGAGGTGTCCTGCCTGGAGAAGAGGTGTTTCAAGTTAGTTTTCAAACATTAGTTTTTCTTTTAGTGCATGCCCTAGGTGGGGGGCCAGCAGGGGTCAGAGGTCAGCAGGGGCGAAAGGTTGCATCTTACTAGTACTTGGTGGGGGAAAGGTGCCATGAGCAGGGTTGAAGATGGCAGGGCTGGTGCTGGCGGTGCTCTCCCCTCAGGTTTGACTTTATCTCCGTTTCAGGGGATCTGAAAGCAAACTGCCGACTTCCCATCTTTCTTCCAACTGGCTTGTTTTTCTCAGCCATACCACCAATCTCTCAGGCACTCAGATCTGACACCGAAGAACTACCTTGCTGATCAGTCACCAAGGCCTGGTCAGTCTTCCCTGAGCGTCTTTCGTAAGTCTGTGCTTCCGGCCCGGGCACACGGCCTCACCCTTGGAGTTCCTGTGACACGTCCTGGCAGCCTTTCATCTCCACACTCTCTCTGTCTGCCTGGGCCTCTGTCCCCTTTGACCAGTTTGGTGTCTGTTCAGGAAATCCCAGTTCCCTCCCATTCCATCTGAGGAGATACCATCTCAGAGGTTTTCAAAGCGACACGTGGTCAGGCCCTAACCCTGCTTCTTACTGCTTCTCTGTGAGATATTAGAACCTGAGAGGTCACCTTCTGAGAAGTGGGGAAACTGAGGCTTAAACAAGGGAAGCACAAAACAGCGGCCATTCCAGAACCACAGCCACGACCCTCAGCAGCTCAGCTCATTTATTTCCTACATTAAGGTAAATTATTCTCCCCACTGTTCTTCCCCCCTGGAGAAACTGGGTGGTTTTTAGTGACATTTACTGAGGTAGGGAAATTGGGAGAGGGGTGGAGATTAAGGTTTCTAGTTTGGACATTAATTGTGAGTTGCTCTGAGACATCCAAATGTCAACTTTAAGAAGTTTGTTTTATGTGTTTTTAGGAACCCAGAGGATAGGTCTGGGTTGTGGGTAATTGGGGAGTCATAGGTATGAGTGGAAAAAAGCCAAGATAATAGATGAGAGGAAGAAACTTGCGTGAGAAGAGGAGCGCACACAAAACTAGTTTTATTTAGGGGTTGAATGGAAAAGGAGCTGGCAGAAGAGTGAGAGAGACTGGTAGTAAAGTGGGAAGACAGTCAGGCCAGTTTGTTATCACAGAATCCAAAAGAAGATAATGTTTTAAGAAGGAGGCAGGAATCAGTTCTGCTGAGACTCCAGGTAATATGAGCAACCAAGAATCATCACTGGTAAGTAAATGAGGGCCACCAGTGGCCATGGCAAGGGTGATTTGGTGAATGAGGGTGCAGGTCAGCCTGGAGAGGACATGGGACTTGTGTGTCTTTATAGAAGGCCTATTGCCACAGACTCTGGTCTGCTGGCCTTTCCACTCAGAATTCAGCCCTCGGGTTTCTCTTGTTGGTGGTCTTTCAGCTGTGATACACCTGTGAGTGCTAGAGCTAGAAGGCACGAGGTCTGTGGGTAAAATAAGTAGGTTGCCCAAGTTAACGGTAAACTTGTAGGAGAATTAGATTGTGATTAAATGCAACTTCAGCTATGCAAAAGAGAAATGTAACTACCCTCTCTTGAGATAAAAGCACCCTGAGTCAGATGGGGTTGGGTAGACTGTCTACATTGTGCGCACTACCCAGCCCATTGTCACTGTTTCCTTAGTCCTAGACACAGATGGTTCCTAGCAGTGTATGTGGCCACTAAGGTGCTGTTTGCAATGGGATGATCCGTAGTGACACAGGCATTTCCTGGAAAAGCTGCAGTGACTGCCTTTGGTCTGAAGCAGGTTTGCAGCATCAGAACAGGAAAGGGTATCTCTAAAAATTGCCTTCAACTTTGAGAGAAGGAGGCTGATGCATATCAGTATTTTTACTGTACAACCTCAGCCACCCCCAGCCAGTCTTCTGTGAATGTGGGCCTGCTGAGGGCCCATGGTAGATTGTTTTAAGACTGCACAGGGAGAATTAGGCCTCTTTACCTGCTGTGGGTTAAGCATTCATTTCTTGTTTCAAGACTGTTCTTGAGAGCAGACTTGGGGTTGTATTGTGTGCAGATACTTTCTTTTTTTCTGTTCTAGTACTTGTGACTAAATTTTTAAAAATCATAACTCAGTAGTATTCTAGATAGAAAAGTTTTATTAAAGTTATTGATGACTTTTCTAGAGGAATGATATTTACAAATTCTGATGTGAAACTGTTTCTTTAATGTCATTCAGTCTATAGGTAACTCTTTCTATTTTTTAAGATTTACTTATGCATACAGAACTGGAGTACAGGCCAGAGGTGCAGGGGTGGTGAGAGGATTCACCAGAGACAGAGTGGGGAGCAGAACAGGTAGATTGACGAAGTACAGTGCTGAAGGGAGCAGTGAGTGAGACAGAAGTCTGCTGCGCCATGAGGAACAGCTCCCTGGCCAGGGATGGAACTCGTGCTGAAGTGGCTGTAGCTAGCTTTGTAGTGCTACACTTCAACCTGTTGCACCACCAGGGAGGGCCCTATAAGTAACTCTTAATATTGTATTATTTTTCTTTTCACCTGAAATGCAGCCAAATCAGTTTTTGTGATGGTTTGGAGAGTCACAAAGTACTTTATGAGCTAACGAGTGCTGCAGTGTGTACTCGGTGTTAGTTCATTGTTTGGTTCATTAAAGCTTCCCAGCAGCCTCACAAGGTTCGGTGTTAGTTATCCCATTTTGTTAATGGTGACAGTAGTCAGGGAAGTTAAGTACTTGATCAAACTTAGGGAGGAAGCAGGCGGTGGCACCATGGCCTTTTATTCTAAGGGAGGCTTCCCACCCTGAGGAGACAGCCCTTCTCATGCTCAAGTTTATGTGTTGCAGGTTTGTGCAGTGATTTTGGATGTAGCAGTTTTTGTTACTGGGACATTGTTAGCAATGTTATAGACCTTTGGGTGAACATCTCTGCTATTCAAAATTGAGTCTACTGCTTTGTTCTATTTAGGAAATAGTCCACAGCACTTATTTTGGAGGGCTTATGGAGATGTACGTCCATAATTTGAAGAAAACGGTAGCCAGTTATTGATAGGAATTTATAAGTTGCTACGTGGTTCTCCATCCCCTACTCTGAAAGCTTTAGTGTATAATACTTGATCAGTTTTTTATCCTAAATCAATACAGATTGGAGGTCAGAGAGCATAATAAAGGACATATATGGCATACACACAGCAAACGTCATACTCAGCAATAAAGAACTGAAAACTTTCTAAGATTAGGGACAAGACAAGGATGTCCATCCTTACCATTTATATTCAGTGTAGTGTTGGAAAGTCCTAGCCAGAGTCATTAGATAAGAAAATGCTATAAAAGGTATTAGAATTGGGCCCTCCCTGGTGGCGCAGCGGGTTAATACACTGCAAAAGAAGCTTAAGCCACTTCCACATGAGTTCGATCCCCGCCTGCCCTGGAGGTGACCACATAGTGTGGCAGACCTCTCCTGACCTGCCCGCTGCTCCCCTCAGCAGTATACTTCGTCGATCTGCCTGTTCTGCTCCCCACTCTGTCCCTGGTGAATTCTCTCATCCTCCGCATCTCTGGCCTGTACCTCAGTTCTGTATGAATAAATAAATAAATCTTAAAAAAAAAAAAAGGTATTAGAATTGGAAGGGAGAAGTACATTTTTTGCAAGTGTCATGTTAATATACAAAGTCCCAAAGACTCTGGCAAATGCTATTAGGAACAATAAATGAATACAGTAAAGTGGCAGGTTATACAATATACAGAAGTCCTTTGCCTTTCTGTGTGCAAATAATGAACTGGCTTAAAGAGAAATCAGGAAAAACAATCATTAAAAACAATTTAATGTACATTTGCATTAAAAAGTATTAAATAGCAGGCCTCTGTAGTAGCTCCAGGGGTTAAGTCTCAGCACCATGAAGCAACTAGCAGCCACTGCATCACAGGTTGGATCCCTGGACAGGGAGCTAACGAACATGGTGCGGCAGACTTCTCTTGTCTTGCCCGCTGCTCCCCTCAGCAGTGTATTTCAGTACATCCACCTGTTCTGCTCCCCATCTGTCTCTCGTGAATCCTCTCACCACCTCACCCCAGCTTGTATGCATAAATAAATAAATCTTTTTTAAAAAGTATTAATTACCATTTGGGGTCCAGTTCTCTCTGGAAAGATATAGCACTTCCTGATAAAAGTTCTGCAAAACGCAACCAAATTAAGAACTCTGCATAGAAAAGATAAACCTGCATTGAGATATCCCAGCTTCTGAGCCACTAACCATATAGCCATGGATACATATGTTTAGGTAGTAGGGCCAGTGTATTATTGGGTGTCTTGAAGTATGACTCTTCTTTTAGGTAAGCTTGAGACTTTTTCTTCCATCTTATTTGTTTGAAACTATAAGCTTTAAATAGGAGGGACTGTCATTCTTCAGGGAATGATACCACCATTTTACATCTATGTGACATGTTTACCTTATTAATACATACAACTTTTAAAAAAGTCTTGATTGCATAGTATGTTTTATTATTAATTTGGAAAACACAAAAAAGTCAAAGAAGAAAAATATACCTGTAATCCTTTTGCCCATTTATAAGATAGCATCTGTGAATGTGTATTTTGCGAGTCTGTATGTATGTATATAAATATATGTATATGGGGCCCTCCCTGGTGGTGCAGTGGGTTAAAGTGCAACACTGCAAGCTGGCTGCCTTCGCTTCAGTGTGTGTTCAATGACAGGCCCCGGAGGTGATCCATATGGTGTGACAGACCTCTCTTGTCTCGCCTACTTCTTCCCTCAGCAATGTACTTCGTCAGTCTGCCTGTTCTGTGCCCCACTCTGTCTCTGGTGAATCCTCTCACTACCCTTGTGCTTCTGGCCTGTACCCCAGTTTTGTGTGAATAAATAAATAGATCTTTAAAAAAAATAGATGTATATGTATTTGGGGTGACATTGTAGATTTTTCTTTTCTGAGTTGCTTTTTTCACTTTATGTATGGTGAACATTTTCCTGTTAGTAAACTACTTTGCTTTATGATTTTTTTTTAAAGATTTATTTATTTGTGCTTACAGAACTGGGGTACAGGCCAGAGGCTCAGGGGCGGCGAGAGGCTTTACCAAAGACAGAGTGGGGGGCAGAACAGGCAGATTGACGAAGTACACTGCTGAGGGGAGCAGCGGGCAGGCCAGGAGAGGTCTGCCACACCATGTGGTCACCTCCGGGGCAGGCGGGAATCAAACTCATGTGGAAGTGGCTTTAGCTTCTTAGTGCTGTGTTTTAACCCGCTGCACCACCAGGGAGGGCCTGCTTTATGATTTTTTTTTTTTAAAGATTTATTTATTTGTGCATACAGAACTGGGGTACAGGCCAGAGGCTCAGGGGCGGTGAGAGGCCCCACCAGAGACAGAGTGGGGAACAGAACAGGCAGATCGACGAAGTACACTGCTGAGGGGAGCAGCGGGCTGGCCAGGAGAGGTCTGCCACGCCATGTGGTCACCTCCGGGGCAGGCGGGAATCGAACCCATGCGGAAGCGGCTCCAGATTCTCAGTGCTGTGCTTTAACCCGCTGCGCCACCAGGGAGGGCCTGCTTTATGATTTTTGATGGTGGATAGGCACAAAATTCCACAGAATGGGAAGGCCACATTTAATTAACCAATGCCTTTCTTTATACAGTCACTAACCGTCTTTACAGATGGGGCTTGAGCCTGTATTTTCTCAGCACACCATATACATGCTATTGGTTGATCACAGATGTGTCAGAGAAGTAATAGTAGGTTCTTCTT